TAGATCCGGAGCAGGGAGTTGGGTGAGCAGATCAGCTTCCCTGCTAAGAGCAGAGTGGAGCAAACAGCATTAGAGCCCCTTGCTGTAGGCTGAGCATGTCATTTTTTCAACAAAACCTGGTTTGTTCAGGCAAGGAATTAGCCTGGGCTGAGAAGCAGAATTCCTGTACTTAGTGAGCTCCTGGTGTGTCCCTGCAGAAGCTTCGGGTGAGATCGAAGGAACTTGCAGGCTCACCCAGCTGCTGATGCTGGAGATGTGAATACAGCTGCTTCTCCTGAATCCCAGCTCCCCTGGCTGCCTGGCCCTGGCCTGGCTGTCCCCTCTCCTGGCTGAGGATGGGCTGTGGGGCACTGCTGACTGTCAGAAGGCACCTGCACTGCAGCAGCTCAGGAGACCAGTCCCTGTGTGTGGAGGAGCAGGAAATTCACCCCTGGGTTTTGGTCAAGCTGGCATCTTCAACCTGATCAAGATGAGGCAATAGTCTTCTACGTAAACAAGATGATGGCAGAGTTAGATGAGATGTTAGGAAGAAATTCTTTGCTGTGAGGGTGGTGAGAGCCTGGCCCAGGTTGCCCAGGGAAGCTGTGGCTGCCCCATCCCTGAAAGTGTGCAAGGCCAGGTTGGATGGGGCTTGGAGCAACCTGGTCTAGTGGGAGGTGTCCCTGCCCATGGCAGGAAGTTGAGACTAGATGTCCTTTAAGGTCCTTCCACCCTAAACCAGTCTGGGATTCTGTGAATGACTCAGTTTGGGTCAGATAACACACACTGAGTCATGGAGCAGCGTGTCCCTTTGAGCTTGACTCAGTGGCTTTGAAATGCTCCTGTTGATGGCAGTGAGCTTCTACTGGGGCATTTCAGGAACTGTAATAGGTTACATGTTCCATGATGCTGTATTTTTCCCTTCTTGCTGCTACTCCTTTCCCACACACCCAGGTACAGTAACACATTTGCATTTCCCCAGCGGCCCTGCGAGCAGCTGGAGAGCGACTGCGGAGGCACCTGCCGTGCCAGGGAGCTCATATATTGTTTATGAGCCATTCCAAGGTGCCAGCAGCCAAGCCAGCATAAATCTGATGTTGTCATCAGACATGTGGGAAAATGTCTTTTAAACACTGGGTGGTTTTTATGGCCTCAGGTTTGTCAGATTGGGGTCAGGCTGCCACAGGTGCAGCCCGGTGCCAAGGGGCTGCTGCTCTCTCTGGTGGGCTCAGATCTCCTCCCTCCCTTCATTCCTTTTCCTTCTTGGCTGAATGGCATCAATAATTCATCATTTTTCCCTTCTAAGGCTATTTTTGGGGTCAGGATTCTGGGTTAACTGAGTGTCCCACTCCCCCCTGGCTCTCAGCAGCTCCTGCTCCCACTTGGCAAACTCCTTTTCCCAGTGCTGTTTGGTTTGCTTTGTGGTTTGGTTTTGTTTGGTTTTGTTCTGGTGGGGTTTTTTTTGTTTATTTTGGATTTTTGTTTTGTTTATATTTGTTTGTTTGAGGTTTTTGGTTTGTTGGGGGTTTTTTTGTTTTTCAGAAGTTGTTTAACTGGGTTGTTTTCTTTTTTGCTTTCCACCTGTGCAGGAATCAGGTGTGTTTTTCTAGCCTGCTCTCCAGTGGGCTCTTTGTATTTAATTCAAAGGGCTAAGAATTTCCATAAAGCAAATGATATGCCTTATTTTTCCTTAGGAAATGAGAAAACAAATTAATTCCTTCAATCCTCTCACCAGAGCCCTTCTGAGATCTGCTCACAGCTCTTCCACAGGCAGTCACTGGCACTCAGTGGGAAGTTTTCCATTTGGTGGGGGGGGGAGTGAGAGAAACAGCTGCTGTGCTGCTGCCAAACTGCTCTGTGGGAAGGTGCTGACTTGGATATGTGGGAGCTGGGGCTGGAATCCACTCTCTGGCAGTGTCTGGAAGTTCACAGTTGTGTGATATGAAGCTATAGGGGAATAGAATATTCTGACATGTCCCCTGGGCTGTGTCTTTTCTCCTGGCTGCATTCCCATAGCTGGAAGAGTCTGTTGGAAGCTGCACCAGGAAAAGGAATGGCTGGTCCAAAAGCAGCAGGTGTCCCTGGGGAGTGGGACTCCTGCATTCCAGCCAGGCTGTGGTATTCCCAAGAGCCTCTAGATAGTGGGACTCTTGCACCCCAGCTGTGCCATTCCTGACAGCCCCTGGGGAGCAGGACCCCTGCATCCTGGCCATGCCATGACATTCCTGACAGCCTCTGGGAGCAGGACTCCTGTATTCCAGTCATGCCATGACATTCCTGACAGCTCCTGGGGAGCAAGACCGCTGCATCCCGACCATGCCATGATATTCCTAAGAGCCCCTAGGGAGCAGGACCCTTGCATCCTAGCTGTGCCACTCCTGACTGCCCCTGGGGAGTGGGACTCCTGCATTCCAGCCATGCCATGACGTTCCTGACAGTCCCCTGGGAGCAGGACCTCTACATCCTGGCCATGCCATGACATTCCTGAGAGCCCCTGGGGAGCAGGACCCCTGCATCCCGGCCATGCCATGGTATTCCCAAGAGCCCTTAGGGAGCAGGACCCTTGCATCCCAGCTGTGCCACTCCTGAGAGCCCCTGGGAGCAGGACCCCTGCATTCCAGCCATGCTATGATATTCCCAAAAGCCCCTAGGGAGTGAGACCCTTGCATCCCAGCTGTGCCATTCCTGACAGCCCCTGGGAGCAGGACCCCTGCACCCCGGCCATGCCATGTCATTCCTGAGGGCCCCCGGGAGCAGGACCCCCGCATCCCAGCCGTGCCATGGTATTCCCAAGAGCCCCTAGGGAGCAGGACCCCTGCATCCCAGCTGTGCCATTCCTGAGGGCCCTCGGGAGCAGGACCCCTGCATCCCAGCTGTGCCACTCCTGAGAGCCCCTGGAAGCAGGACCCCTGCATTCCAGCCATGCTGTGATATTCCCAAGAGCCCCTAGGCAGTGAGACCCTTGCATCCCAGCTGTGCCATTCCTGACAGCCCCTGGGGAGCAGGACCCCTGCACCCCGGCCATGCTGTGATATTCCCAAGACCCCCTAGATAGTGAGACCCTTGCATCCCAGCTGTGCCATTCCTGAGGGCCCTCGGGAGCAGGACCCCTGCACCCCGGCCATGCCATGTCATTCCTGAGGGCCCCCGGGAGCAGGACCCCCGCATCCCAGCCGTGCCATGGTATTCCCAAGAGCCCCTAGGGAGCAGGACCCCTGCATCCCTGCTGTGCCATTCCTGAAAGCCCCAGGGAGCAAGGCCCGGGGTCCCGCCCCCGCCCGCCGCTCTCGCCCCGCAGGCGGCTGCTGGCGCGGCTGGACGACATGCGGCGCAGCGTGCTGGGGGACGGCGTGAGCCGCTGCATCCTCTGCGGGGAGCAGCTGGGGCCGCGGGGATCTGCCTGCGTTGTCTGCGAGGACTGCAAGAAGGTGAGGTGTCCCCCCGCACCCCCCCCGAGCCCGTGCAGCTCCCTCTCTGGTGCCAAACCCGGCATCCTGGGGATTTCGGTGCCTGTCTTGGTTGCCCGGCATCCCCCTCCAAGCAAGGGGACATCAGGGATGGTTGTGCTGGGAAACCTTGTTAACCATCTCGTTAACCATCTCTAGTAACCTCACGTTCCTGGTGTGCTGGGACCCTCAGGACAAGAAGGACGTTGAGGGGCTGGAGTGTTATCCAGAGAAGAGTGATGGAGCTGGGGAAGGGGCTGGAGCACAAGACTCATGAGGAGTGGTTGGAGGGGATGGGGGGTGTTCAGCCCGGAGAGAAGGAGGCTGAGGGGAGAGCACCTCACTCTGTGTAGCTGCCTGAAAGGAGGTTAGAGCAAGGGGGGCTTCAAGCTCTTTTCCCAAGGAACAAGTGATAACCTCAAGTTGCCACCAGGGCAGGTTGAGATTGGATATTGGGAACAATTTCTTTCTGGATAAGGGGTGTCAGGCCCTGGCACAGGCTGCCCAGGGCAGTGGTGGAGTCACCATCCCTGGAGGAATTTAGAAACCATGTAGGTGTGGTGCTGAGGGACACGGGCTGGTGGTGGACTTGGCAGAGTTAGGCTAATGGTTGGACTGGATGATCTTTTCCAACTAAAACAATGCGATGACTCCGTGACCTGTTGGTGGCCGCGGGGTCCCTGCTGCCACCTGCCCTTTGCTTCCTCTGCAGAACGTCTGCACCAAGTGTGGGGTGGAGACCAGCAACAGCCGCCCCCAGGCCATCTGGCTCTGCAAGATCTGCAGCGAGCAGCGGGAGGTGAGTGTGGCCCCAGGCCCTGCCCCTCACCCCACCGCTGGTCTCTCTGCATCAGGGACAAGGTCTCTGCCTTTGGTTTCACCCCCACCTACTAACCCCACCCCAGACCTCTGAGACAAAAGCAGCTCCAGACCTGGGGGGTGTTCCCGGGGACTTTCACCACTGGAGCTTGCTCAGCTAATAGGATCTATCTAAAACGCCATTTATTTTGTTTCTTTAAAACAAAATATGAGGGTTGAAGGGGTCGCTGTGGCCAGAGATCAGTTCCCTGCCGCCTGCAGTGTGCGAAAGCTGATGAGTTGACGGATAAGCAGGACGGGCTGTGGGATACAGGGATGCACATCCCCGGTGCTGCCTGCTGGAGACAGACCCTGGCGATGCAGGGGGGCGAAGGCACCCAGCACCCCCCCGACATGGGTGCCACCCCTCTGCCTGCACCCCCAGGTGTGGAAACGCTCCGGCGCCTGGTTCTTCAAGGGTTTGCCCAAGCAAATGCTGCCCCAGCCGATGTCTGTCAGCAAGAACAAGGGACCCCAAACCCCGAGCGAGCCCAGCCCGTCCGAACCCCCCACCCAGGACCCGAAACTCCCCTCCCGGGCGCCCACCCGAGGTAGGTGAGGCGGGGGCGAGGGGCAGGGGGCAGCCAGTCCCTCCTCGTTGCTGTCAAGGGTGAGCCCTGGTAAAAAGCCTCCAGGGCAGCCGTGGAGCTGTTGTCTGTTTTCCAAAGGGTGCAGAGACCTCCCCGCTGCCCTCCTGCCTGCTGAGGCTTCCTCTGGGCTGTGAGGGTGGGGATGGCTGGGATTGCAGGGACAGCCCTGGGCGGGGAGCTGGGGCTTCTGACAGCGCCTGGGTACCAACACGGTGATGGAGGAGCCTGGCAAAAACAAGGATAAGGAGGGAAAGGTGGGGAAGGAGGAGCAGCAGCAGGGCCCGGGATGGCTTTGGTGGGGTGGGTGGGCTGCAGCTTCACCCCTTCTCGCTCTGTTTGTGCCCCCAAGGCCAGGCGGACGCCCCGGCCGAGCAGGACCCCGACGGTAAGCACCGGTGCTCGCACCCTCCCCGTGCTG